TGTCTTTGCTTTTTTCAGTTTATATTTTAGACGAGACACATTTTTTTTATGCTTCTCGGGTCCTGAGCCTCCATCCAGGATGACGTACGGATTGACTTCACAGTCCTGCAGAGTCTTAAAGAACTTACAGACCTCATGTTTGAATCCAGGATAATCCCCTCCACATCGCTGGTCCAGCTTTGGATCAGATGTATAATACAAAAAATAGTAAAGAGCATTACCATCAATGATGAGATCTGTTTTTTCTACCATAACGTCTTCACAGAGACTCAAAACATCTATCATTTTCTTTAACGCTGAAACCTCCATGATTCCTTAAAGTGTGGATAAAGATGAGCAGTGGTTATTGTGCTAATGCCTCTGTGTCTGCAGATATTTATACTACTAGAGTGCACACCCACACCGACAGAACCAGTCACACCTGTTGTGACTACTCTAACATTCCTATCTTACTTTTTTGGTTTAATTTCTTTAATCTTCATGTTGTGGTTTTCTGTTTCATTTCACCCTGTGGAGCAAAATCAAACATGTTTCATTAACTTTCCAGTTGTTAATAAAGCAAAGGTACTTTGTGTCCATCACAAAGCTCAACCCTGCCATGAACTAAAAACTGCTGCAACACGAGCGTCACCGTCCACAGTGAAGCCAGTGTTATATGACCATGGACTGTGAGCATGCCAACTAAGAAAGAAGCAACGGCTCCAAAACATCTTGGACCGACATCTTGAAGCTCGACTGTCGCAGCTCCTCGTTATGGACGAGCGAAATGTCTTTTGGAGAAAGGTTAAATGGGCAGATGGCACAGCTGGCTGTTTCAACAGGACAAAACAAACACACATTAAACTTTTTTTGGAGCATAAATGCAAATAAGCATACAGGCTGATGTAAATCCACTTGCTCTTCAGCTGATAAATGCTATGGTAACAGCATTTATCAGTAATAGAGAAGAGTGTACAACTCTTACAGGAGCTGCTTTTACTTGTAACACTGTGCTATGGTTAGCTAGAAGCAAGAAACAAGGAAGTGATGTAAGCCAATGGTAAAGTAGAGATTCACCATATAAGAATCAGTCTATTTTCCATTTCACACAACAATACCCAGTAACCATCACAAGTTTTTTGTTTGTTTGTTTGTTTTTTTACTTTTTCTGAAGGTTTAGATTTTTTTTTCTGACTTAATTTTTGCTGTGAATAAGTGTTCGAAGCATTTTATATTCAGATATTACAACCAAAGTAAAAGCAATAAATGACAACAAATATTTTTTTAAAGAAGTTAATGCTCTCTGATATTTAAGTGTTAATTTGTGAATTACCCTTTCCCTAAACATTTTTTGTTTTAATCTCTTTTTTCAAAACCCCAGTGATAACTATGAGAACAAAAAAGTATTTGAATCAGTGAGAGACCAGTGACCTGTCCCAACCTCACCTCTTACCCAGTGACTCTGAAATGCATAATAGAGAGCAAATGTGATAATGTGAAACAACTAAATGTGTCCTTTGTCAGCTTGTATTTTAAAAAGAAAAAGTTATTTTCCTTCAATATTATTTTCAATAGTCACGAATAAACAAAGTATGATAGTCTTGTGTTTTTTTCCTGTGTTTTTCTTCTGGTTTCTTTTACAGCACATCTCTGACAGAAATTAAAAAAACTATTTTCACAGCAGACACCTGCACAATCATCTGTCACATTGTGTTGTTCAATTACTGATACATGCTGCACATTTCCTCACATAGCAAGAGCATCCAACATAAGATGTTTCTCTGTCTGATGAACAAACGCAAAACATTTTATTTAGAACAGGATGATTCATGATCCTAAAAGTCTGGAAACTTTGAGAATAATTAATTAATCGGCCACACCTTGGCACACCTTTGTACCTAGCTGTCCCACAGTATCTTACCAAAAAAAAAAAAAAGGAAAATAATTTAAAAAAGAATCAAACCATTGTACTGCTTAATTACCATCCTTACCACCTCCATCACAACTACATATGATAATATTAGGTTAGGCAGTGCTTTAGGCCAGCAGGGACAGATGCTGTTTTGGCTCCAGAACAACAAGAACAGCTGGTAATGTATACATCTATACATGTGAAACTTGGTTCATTTTTGTATCTCTGAAGATGATCATGATTACTAAAATTCCTGCTTCATTGTTGCCATATTTTGCATTGGCGTGTCTGCTATCTGTGGTAATCTTTACACATACTGACACAATAACACAACCTGCCACACCTATTCATCCTACCATACCTACATCTTTCTTTTGGTTTTGTTTTCTTGTTTTTTACTGGTATGTTGAATTGGTTTGTGACTCAGTGTGCATCTCTGTAGAGCAAAACCAAATGAGTTTCCCTTTTTTTCCTGCAGCTCTGTTAAGATCCTAACAAATAATATTGATCACAGAGATATTTTATCAAAGACTTAGATAAAATGGTGACAGTAGTGGAGTAAAAGAGAACAGGTTAAAGAACCAAGAAGTTGTTCTCAAACACTGTGCACTGTTGTGTGTAGTCCCAGTTTATCAGTTACATTACATTACATTTATATCACCAAATCATAACAAAGATTGGCTCAAGGTGCTTTGTACAGTATTATAACCCCAACAAGGCATATTGATGCAACATTTTAATTTTACTTCTGGTTTTGTCAACAGTTTTACACTTTATCCTTATTAAATCATCCAACTCAATACATCGGCCTGTTCCTTGGATTTTGACAAGGAGAGTGTTTACCTGTCTGTATAGCTTAGTCTACATTCATGAGGACAACACTTAGTGAGGACAGAAAAACTCTGCTAATATACTGTAGTATACAGTCTCGGTCGTTGTGTCCTTGGGCAAGACACTTCACCTACCGTCTACTGGTGTTGGCCAGAGGGGCCGATGGCGCGATATGGCAGCCTGGCTTCTGTCAGTCTGCCCCAGGGCAGCTGTGGCTACAA